ATCAATTAGTAAAAAAAAATAATTGTTTTTAAGAAAAAGTATGTAATTATTTATAATGTATTTATAATGTATTTTTTAAAACAATTATTTGTTTTTTTCTTTACACTAATTGATTTGTCTCATTATTCTGTACATAAAATATACTTTGTGATGTTAATAACGCGATTTGGAAAAAAAAACAATTATTTACCAAAAAAAAAGATCCTTAAAAATAGCCTTTTTTTAGCCGTTACACTGGTTTTCCCCCTTAATAACTCTACAATATTTTTCATTTTCTTTCTTGTCGATTATCTTAACAATTTCTAACTTCTCTGAAATGTTCACTCCTATTCTTCTTTTCCTTCCATTTTTTTCTCTTCCACTCTTCCTCTCGTCTTCTTAAACAATTCTTTAATATTTCCTTCTTTCTTTCAACATATCTCTTTTTGTTGTCGTATTTTTCTTCCAATTCTCTCTCTGTCTCTCTATATCTACTTTCATCTTCTTTGTTCTCTTTTATGCATTCTATATACTTTCTATTTTACGCCTATTCACTCGCGCCATTTTATCATCTCTCTACACCTGTTTTTTTCTTTTATTTCCACTGCTTCTATTTCTTTTTTTCCTAGTTATTGCTTCTTTTTTTGTCCTTTGTCTATCTCTTCTACCTGTTGACTCATCTAATTTCTATCTCCTTTCCTTTTCCATCTTTCTCTTAACTGCAAGTCTGCCACTACGATCTCACGTTCATTCATTTCGCTCTTTCCTTTCCGCACACTTTCTCCGCTCTCTTCTTTTAGTATTCTCTCTTTCTCACTTTTTTGCTCGACTATTGTAATCAAAACCGGAAACAGGGAAGGCTAGAGAAAATATATACAGGGTGTCTCGTAAAGACTGTAACAACGCTTAAGGGTAAATTCTTGAGGTCATTTAGAAACAATTTTTTCTCAGTGAAAATGTCGAGAGAGGTCATCATTTTTTGCAAGTTTCCAATTTTTTCCGTCATATATCTTTGTAACTAAGCTTTAAATTAAAATTCTCTCTCTTTATTAAAGTAAACTTTATCTGAAATTAATTAAAGAATGTAGTTTTAACTCTCTATAAAGTTTAGTTTGCAAAAAGCCCTTCTTTTTTAATCGCTTACACGAAAATGATTGATGTCTCGATATTTTTGCTGAAAAATTATCTTATAATGATCTCAAGAATTTACCCTTAAGCGTTGTTACGGTCTTCACGGGAGACTTTGTATATATGTATGGGTTTTAATATTTATAAGGGAAATAAAGATATCGGAACTATAAATCTCAATTTAATAGATAAATAATTAAATAAATTTATAGATATAATAAATTAATAGATAAAATTTATTAATCCATTGCTGAAGTTAATTTCTTATTTATTTTTCAGCAAAATAATCAATCATTCCTGTCCGGACACTATTGATGAGCGCACAATTAACAAGAAGAACCTAACATTGTACAAGAAGCACGAGAATTTAACACTAGCGTTGTCTTCGGCTCAATCCATTGGTTGCAACATCATAAACATTGACGCCCACGATCTCACGAAAGGTTCGCCCCATTTGGTGTTGGGGCTGCTCTGGCAGATTATCCGAATTGGCTTGTTCAACCAGATTACTCTCGAGAATTGCCCTGGTCTTGCCACGCTTTTGCAAGATGGCGAACGAATCGAAGATCTGCTAAAATTATCTCCGGAGGCCATTCTTCTTAGATGGGTGAACCATCATTTGGAGAACGCTGGCATTGCCAGGCGGTGCAACAACTTCCAGTCCGACATCACGGATTCCGAGATATATACTTATCTTATCAAACAGATTGCGCCCAACTCGGCTGGCATCACCTTGGAAGCCTTAATGGAACCCAACCATACGTCCAGAGCGGAGATCATGCTTCAACAAGCCGCTAAACTAGGCTGTCGTAGCTTTGTAACTCCTAGCGACGTCGTAAACGGTATTTACAAGCTTAATTTAGCCTTCGTTGCCAATATGTTTAACAACTACCCCGGTTTGGACAAGCCAGAAAGCAACATTGAGGGTTTGGAGTCTCTCGAGGAGACGCGAGAGGAAAAAACCTATAGAAATTGGATGAACTCGATGGGCGTAATGCCTCACGTCAACTGGCTCTATTCAGATCTGGCTGATGGTCTGGTTATCTTCCAGCTGTACGATATTATTAAGCCGGGCACTGTGAATTGGAATAAAGTGCACAAAAAGTTTACGAAGCTCCGAAAGTTCATGGAAAAGCTGGAGAACTGTAATTACGCCGTCGAGCTGGGCAAACAAATGAACTTTTCGCTCGTGGGTATTGCCGGACAGGACATCAATGACGGAAACGCGACCCTGACGTTGGCACTTATATGGCAATTGATGAGGTCGTATACATTGTCGATCTTGACGTCTCTAGCTGGTACTCAGGGAAGCAACGTTGAAAAAGAAATCGTCCAATGGGTAAATTCTAAACTTCAGACGGCTGGAAAAACTAGCAGCATCAAGGGATTCCAAGATTATGCGATATCAGACGGCAAGGTTGTTCTTGATCTTATCGATGCTATCAAACCCGGCTCGGTGAACTACGATCTTATTAAGGAAGGCGGGACTGAAAAGGTGAGGATTTTATTTGTCGATGAAGCCTCTTAATATTCGCATAGCTCATATTCCCGTTGGATGTCAAAAACACCATTATACTTATATTATGATAACACTGTTCAACAAAAAATGACTTTTTTTTCGGACACAGGAACCGGACTACCCGTTTCTTCTGGGTTTTGGGACGTTGAACACGAATCCGGTTGTGAAATTGCTCCATCACGTCAGAATTTTGTGAAAATTTGCATTTGAAGTTGCAAAAAGGACTATTTTCACGAACTTTGCCATATTATAGCTACAATATGTGACATGCTGGAGAAGTTTTATTACAATCAAAATAAAATATGTTGTTAGGACTTTCAACCCTCAAAAGGAATTTTTGGTGTCGGTTATGGTTAATAAGATATGGTTAAATATGGGGTGTATTGCAGAAGTTAGCTGTGATTTAGGTCATTGACGATTTACCAGATAGCTTTTAATTATATTTATTTAAACTTAAGAGTTTTTTAGATTGCTGAATACGAATGTCAAAATTGTCAAATTCAAAATGGTGGACTCAATATGGTGGATGCCAAAACCTTAAAAAATGTTTAGATTGCAATCTAAACATTTGAGTCCACCATTTTGAATTTGACAATTTTGACATTGGATTCGTATTCAGCAACCTAGAAAACTCTTAAGTTGAAGTAATAATTGAAAGCTATTTGGTAAATCGTCAATGACCTAAGTCACAGCTAACTTCTGCAATACACCCCATATTTAACCATATCTTATTAACCATAACCGACACCAAAAATTCCTTTTGAGGGTTGAAAGTCCTAACAACATACTTTATTTTGATTGTAATAAAACTTCTCCAACACGTCACATATTGTAGTTATAATATGACAAAGTTCATGAAAATAGCCCTTTTTGCAACTTTAATTGCAAATTTCTCAAAATTCTGACGTGATGGAGCAATTTCACTTTATTACAATCAAAATAAAGTATGTTGTTAGGACTTCCAACCCTCAAAAGGAATTTTTGATGTCGGTTATGGTTAATAAGATATCCATGGTTAAATATGGGGTGTATTGCAGAAGTTAGCTGTGATTTAGGTCATTGACGATTTACCAGATAGCTTTTAATTATATTTATTTAAACTTAAGAGTTTTTTAGATTGCTGAATACCAATGTCAAAATTGTCAAATTCAAAATGGTGGACTCAAATGTTTAGATTGCAATCTAAACATTTTTTAAGGTTTGGCATCCGCCATATTGAGTCCACCATTTTGAATTTGACAATTTTGACATTGAATTCGTATTCAGCGATCTAAAAAACTTTTAAGTTTAAATAAATATAATTGAATGCTATTTGGTAAAACGTCAATGACCTAAGTCACAGCTAACTTCTGCAATACACCCCATATTTAACCATATCTTATTAACCATAACCGACACCAAAAATTCCTTTTGAGGGTTGAAAGTCCTAACAACATATTTTATTTTGATTGTAATAAAACTTCTCCAGCATGTCACATATTGTAGTTATAATATGACAAAGTTCATGAAAATAGCCCTTTTTGCAACTTTAATTGCAAATTTCTCAAAATTCTTACGTGATGGAGCAATTTCACAACCGGATTCGTGTTCAGCTTATAAGAAATGGCTAGTCCCGTCCCGGTGTTTTTTTTTGTTGAACTGTGTAATTATTTCCGTAGATGATTAATTTTCTATGTTGCGTTACTTGCGTTACATTCACATTATTAACATTTAAATGTCAGATCTTAACTAGCGTGATGCATGATTTCTTAATAAAATTTGAAGAAACTCAAATAATAAAAGAATTATTTCGATAAATTTGAATTAAACGTTATTGAAAGATAGTTAATCAAAATTTTTCTAAAATATATCTAGAAAAAAATATCGGTGATACGTTCAAAATTACCACAAGATTACAAGAATCTCCATAGATTATCCAAACATTAATATTTATTCGCGGTTTTCTAGTCTTCTTTTAATGCAATAAAATAGAACTATTGTAAACATTAGTGAAATCCATTTAAGTCAGTCTCGAAGGACTTCTTACTTCGATCAATAGGCGCGTTCA